TAACATCCAGTTTATTTAGTAGGATGGTGATGTTGCTAACTATTAGTCTGGGTTGGCCTTGAATTGTGATCCTCTTGATCTTTGCCTTACAGATGTGAGCCACTGTATCCTGCTAGAACTGATTATTGAAAAAAGCATATGATCCCTTATTATTTTCAGTAATTGAACAGTATTATCTTTATAAAGACAATGCTGAAATCTTGCTTTTCTGATCTTTAGATTGTGAAACTTCCTATCAGCTAATAAGTACCATGGTAGTTGCTGGAATTCTAACTGTACAGCCATTTTAATATGGGACATTGTGTGAATGAATGTTCTTTGAGAGTTAAATATCCCAACTGTCAGGGCTGAGAAGGTGGCTCAGTGGTAGAGCGCTTGCCTTGTGTGCATGAGGCCCTGGGTTCAATTCCTCAGCACCACATAAGCAGAAAAAAAAAGCCAGAAGTGGTACTGTGGCTCAAGTGGTAGAGCCTTGAGGTGAAGAGCCCAGGCCCAGAGTTCAGGTACATGACCAGACTCCCCCCCAAAAATATCCCTACTGTCTTGATGATTGAATCCAAAGTTGAATGTGTGTTCACAATGGCATATCAAATTTTAAGTTTTCTTTATTTAAGCTGATTATGTAGAACACTAATTTCAGCAGTAAATGTAAGTATTGTGATGTGGTTCAGTGCAGGGTTTTTCTTAACCAAGTGAATGCTTCAATCTCTTCATCAAGGGTGACAAGTGTCCTTCAGATGCTTTGCCACAGACCATCCATGTTAGTGGCAAGGTGTCTTTTTTTGTTGTTGTTGTTGTTGGTCGGGCCTGAACTCTGGGCCTATGTGCTGTCCCTCAGCTCTTCAGCTCAAGGCAGGCACTTTACCACTTGAGCCACAGCATCACTTCCAGTTTTCTGGTGGTTAATTGAAGATAAGAGTCTCACAGACTTTCCTACCCGGGCTGGCTCTGAATTGTGATCCTCAGATCTCAGCCTACTGAGTAGCTAGGATTACAGGCATGAGCCACTGACACCAGCTCCAAGGTGTCTTTTAACAAGTGCCTCACAAGGTAAGGGTTATCTGTTGGTCTTTGCACATCCTTCCCTGCTCCCCAAAGCAGGGTAGCGGATCTCAATCCACAGACCCTGGGAGCAACTCCTGCTGAAGAGAAGATGGCTGTATTTTGGTTCTAGATATAGCATAACTAGCCAGTCTTCTCTGAATATATATATATATATTTTTTTGTCAGTTGTGGGGCCTGAACTCTGGGCCTGGGTGCTGTCCCTCAGCTCCTCAGCTCAAGGCTAGTGCTCACCACTTGAGCCACAGCTCCACTTCTGGTTTTTTCTGCTTATGTGGTGCTGAGGAATTGAACCCAGGGCCTCATGCATGCAAAGCAAGCACTCTATCACTGAGCCACCTTCCCAGCCCCTCTGAAACCAAATGGTTGAAACCAAATCCTTTTTAAATTACTGATTATCCTATGTGTTATGTAGTGTGTTGGTATGTTCATTGTAAGGCAAATAAAATACTTATTTTTTTGTGTATGTGTGGTGCCACGCTGGGGCTTGAACTCAGGGCCTGGGTGTTGTCCCTGAGCTGCTTTTTTGCTTAAAGTTAGCCCTCTACCACTTGAGCCACAGCTCCACTGCTGGCTTTTTCTGTGATTAATTGGATATAAGAGTCTCAGGGACTTTCCTGCTGGGGCTGGCTTTGAACCACCATCCTCAGATCTCAGCTTCCCCAGTAGCTTGTCTTTTTCTTTCAAAAAATCTGTCTTGGGCTAGTAAGGTGGCTCAGTGGTAGAGTGCTTGCCTTGCATGCATGAGGCCCTGGGTTCAATTCCTCAGCACCACATAAGCAGAAAAAGCTGGAAGTGGCACTGTGGCTCAAGTGGTAGAGCGCTTAGCCTTGAGCTGAAGAGCTGAGGGACAGCACCCAGGCCCAGAGTTCAAGCCCCACAACTGACAAAAAAGAAAAGAAATGGTTAGTTTTAAGCTGGGCATAATGGTACATGCCTGTACTTCTAGCACTCAGGAGGTTGAGGCCGGAGGATCCTTAAGGCCAGTATGGCCAATCTAGGGAGACTCTGTAACAACAACAACAACAACAACAACAACAAAAGCCTCCAAACCCAAATAAGCAAAAAAATCTAGTCATAGTTTCCAATATGGCTATCTCTGGTCACATGTGTCTTTTGAACACAGGAAATTGTGGCTAGCTTAAACTAAGATATGATGTACATGTGAAATAAGCTCTAGACTTCAGAGCTTTGGTATGAACAGAAAAAGTAAAATATTTAATTTTTTTCTTTTTGTAAAATATTTTATTGACACTGTTTAATTTTTGTTTATTTTCTATGTGCCCAGGCTGGCCTTGATTCTCACACTTTCTATTTGAACCTCCCACATGATGGGTATATTAAGTACATGCCACTTTGCCTGACCAATGATATTTTAATATTTAATATTTTAATAGTGTTCAAACAACAGTAATTTGAGTATATTGCATTAAGACATAAGACGTATCATTAAACTTACAAAAGCCAAATGTCCTGTGAAGACAGACATTATTAATTATTAATCTATATTAAATTGGCAAGGTGAATGATATGATCTCTTTTTTGTCTTTGGTCAGTCCTGGGGCTTGAACTCAGGCCTGGGCACTGTCCTTGAGCTCTTCTGCTCAAGGTTAGCTCTACAACTTTGTCCTTTTTTTTTTTTTTTTTTTTTTGGCTCCAGTCATGGGGCCTGAACTCTGGGCCTGGGTGCTGTCCCTCAGTTCTTCAGCTCAAGGCTAGCACTCTACCACTTGAGCCACAGCACCACTTCTGGCTTTTTTTTTTTTTGCTTATGTGGTGCTGAGGAATTGAACCCATGGCCTCATGCATGCAAGGCAAGCCCTCTACCGCTGAGCCACCTTCCCAGCCCCAGCTCTCCACTACTTTGGACCACAGCTCCATTTCCAGTTTTTTGGGGTGGTTAATTAGAGATAAGAGTCTCACGGAAACTTTTCTTCCTGGGCTGGCTTTGAACTACAGTCCTCAGATCTCAGTCTCCTGATTAGTTAGGATTATAGGATAATCTCATTTTAAAGCTGAGAAAAAAGGGTTTTAATTAGGAGGGAAAAGCTGATGAGCAAAGATTTGCTTTGACGGCAGAAAATTTTCGAGTGCTAGAAAATATTGTTCTTGTTTTTTTTTTTCTACCCATTTTTTCCCAATGGCCATTATTTTGCATAGGCCTCATTTTTAGGGGGTGGCACTAGGGTTTGATCTGGGGCCTGTGTGCTTGCTAAGCAGGTGCTCTACCCGAGTCACTCTGCTAGCCCCTGCTCCCACCCCCTTTTTTTTTTTTTTGTCAGTCGTGGAGCCTGATCTCTGAGCCTGGGCGCTATCCTCCAGCTCTTCAGCTCAAGACAAGTGCTTTACCACTTGAGCCGCAGAGCCACTTTTTTTTTGGTCTGGTTGTGGGGCTTGAACTCTGGGCCTGGGCACTGTCCCTCAGCTCTTCAGCTCAAGGCTAGCACTCTACCACTTGAGCTACAGCGCCACTTCTGGTTTTCTGGTGGTTTATTGGAGATAGGAGTCTCACGGTCTCTCTTGCCCAGGCTGGCTTTGAACCGCGATCCTCAGATCTCAGCCTCCTGAGTAGCTAGGATTACAGACGTGAGCCACCAGCACCCAGCAAATGTATTATCTTTTTTTTTTGGGGGGGGGGTCTGGTCATGGGACCTGAACTCTGGGTCTGGGTGCTGTCCCTCAGCTCTTCAGCTCAAGGCTAGCGCTCTACCACTTGAGCCACAGCGCCACTTCTGGCTTTTTTCTTTTTGCTTATGTGGTGCTGAGGAATCGAACCCAGGGCCTCATGCATGCAAGACAAGCGCTCTACCACTGAGCCACCTTCCCAGCCCCCCACTTTTTTTTTTTTAAACTTTTACTGCTTATGTGGTGCTGAGGAATCGAACCCAGGGCCTCATGCATGCAAGGCAAGCGCTCTATCACTGAGCCACCTTCCCAGCCCCACTGCTTCCCCTTTTTGAGATAGAGTCTTGCCTTATTCTCAGGCCAACCTGGACCATAAACTTCCTATTTGTGCTTTTCTGTAGAGTTGGGAGTAAAGGCACAAGCTACTGCATCTGGCTCTTATTGGTTGAGTTAAAATCTTTTTTTTTTCCCCTTTATATGGAATCCTGTGAATGTTTTTGTCTAGGCTAGCTTGAGCCATGATCCCTCGATCTTCACCTTTCAAGTAGCTAGGATTGCAGGCCCCAGATACTGCTCAGGGATTAGGCATCATCTTGTATGTGTTTGTGTGTGTGTGTGTGTGTGAATTCTGGGACTTGAGCTCAGGGCCTGGATATTATCTCTTAACTTTTTCACTCAAGGTCAGTGCCCTACCATTTGAACCACAGCTCCACTTTTGGCTTTTTGCTAGTTAAGTGGAAGTAAGAATCTCATGGACTTTCCTGCCCTGGTTGGCTTTGAACCATGATCCTCAGACCTCAGACTTCTTAGTAGCTAATGTTGTAGACATGTAGTTGGTCTGTGAAAGTCCTTCCAAGAGCTGTGTCTGGCTAGGCATCATCTTTTACAATGGAAATGAGAATAATTGAGAATGCTTCATAATTAATCTGTGCAGAAAAAGCAAAACTTAATGTTACTTTGAGTCAGGAGTAGGGCCTGCATACTTTTCATAGATAGCACTGTTTGTAATTTCCCCCCTAAGTGGTAGAGATTGAAGGAAGGGTTTTTGAGTGTAACATGTTGCTATAACTGGCTGTGTTTGCATTGTTTCTAGCTATTCCTGTTGTCCAGAGGCAACCAGGACTCCTCCATATGGTCATTAAAGAAGTTTTAAGTTTTCCTGGCTGTGTATCTGCAATGTTAAAAGTGCCCAAGCTTAAACAAGATGTATGACCGCATCCATCCCAGTTTGCAAAGTACACATTTGGAACAAGCCTCTGTGTTATGACCTTTTACTTAATAGTCACCTTTCATTTCCCTTTGTTTCTCTGCAGATCAGCAACGTCTTGTTTTTCATTTTACCTCCTATCTGTATGTGCTTGTTTCGTCAATATGCAACGTGCTTCAACAGTGGCATCTACTTGATATGGACTCTCTTAGTTGTAGTGGGTAAGTGCGAGGCGGGGGGCGGGGGGGTGGGGGGGAGACTGAAAGGGAGGAAATGGGATTCCACAGGCTTCCTGTCTCTTTGGACATAGTGTTTTGTAAACCAAAGTCACTCTGACGTCTTAGCAATTGCCCCCCTGATGGACACCAAAAAGAGTCTTTTCAACTCAGGCTTGATAACAAGTCTGCCTGGAACTATCACATAACTGCATTGCAGACTGATTTGGGGGACTGACAGTATTGGTGCTGTGCCAGGGCAGCTTTCTGGAAGCTTCCAAAGAAAGTCATGTGAAACAATTGAACTCTGATAAGATGTGGTTTCTAATGGGCTTAAATGAAAAAAAAAATTAGATATTTGGTCCCTCATTGTTCAGTGAAATATTTGTGTAATTTCCATTTCCTCTTCCAGGCTGTTCAGGAATTCTTAACAGTGAGATAATGTTGACTTTTATTTACTGCCTGTTCTCATGAAAGCTCAGTGGATAGAGCCAGAGTGTTTTTACTGTGGGATTACTTAAATTTGATAGGCTAATACCAGGCCCTAACTAAAATTCCCTTTCTAGTTTTGAAGCCTGCAGGCTGGGTGGTGTGAGTTTCTTTCTAAAGTTTCTTTTTTTTCAAAGAGAGAGTGATCTAGTGATTTCTGATAGCAGCTAGTAAAGTCTCTTTAAGCAATGTGTTGAATTTGTGAGTTAGTGCTTCTGGGCTGACTGTTTTTTTATGTTTTGTTTTTAATTGTAATCGATTCTAGGAATTGGATCCGTCTACTTCCATGCAACCCTTAGTTTCTTGGGTCAGATGCTTGATGAACTTGCAATACTTTGGGTTCTGATGTGTGCTCTGGCCATGTGGTTCCCCAGAAGGTATCTACCAAAGATCTTTCGGAATGACAGGTAAGCTCATGCTTAAATGCTTTTACAATTACTACTAGGTGCAGTCCCCAAGATAACTTAGCACCAAGGAAAACAGCACACAATTAAGTTCCACCTAGTGATGAACTTACTTAATGAATAAACTTGTTTAATAACTTGTTTAATATATTTGCTTAATGTCCACTGATTTTTTAATGATCTGACAGTATAATCAAACTGAGAGATAAAAGAGGAAACTTAAGTAATATTTGGGAAAGCATATATGTAATGGTAGGGGCAAAAAAATAGCTGACTTGTTCATTTATGAACAAGTGTGGAAAGACTCATTGGGAGAGACATATCTGGGCAGTAGTTTAAAGACCTTTGATTTCCTGCCTAAATGTTTCCTTGAGTGTCACCTAATTTCACCAGTTTTATACATATGGAAGTAGAAAGTCTGATTATCTTATTCTTGAAGTCATAGGATAAGATTTAAGATTTGTATCATTGTTTTACATATGATCAACATACACAATACACATGCACTCATATATATATATATATGTATATACACATACATACTTCTATTTGTACACGCATGCACACACACACACACAATCTCCAGCTAGAAATCAGAATTCAGGAAAAGATGCATTTTTAGTATCTTGCATGCTAGGATTATAGTGTTTTTGAACACTTATTTTGGACAGTATTTTTTCGAAACACTGAGATACAGCTGTAAACAAAGTGGCAACATTTCTGCCTCTCATGAATTTCCCCTAATTTGGTAGTAGAGCACCAACAGAGAAATACTCTCATGTTGGAGTATGAGTAGACAGGGTGTTGCCATGACATCATGCTGATGTAGTTAGGCCACAGAAGTCCTCCTAATTACTGTGTGAGGTTTGTTGCTGTCTGAAGGTACAGGGGAAGTCAACCTAATTCAGATGAGGAATGTGCTCAGAACACACCATCTGCATAGTTCTCTGCAGGACACTCTGTTTTGTCAAGTTATATACAGAATATTGATAAATAGTCTAAAAATATGGGTACAATGAAGCAAGCTGTGCCAGCCCAGGGAAGAGATCCCAGGAAAAGAATTCATAATGGTTTTTTTTTCCTTCAATTTTGAAAAGGAATAGCAGCTACATAGCTATTAAAGACTAAGGCTGGACTTCAGGAAGGACTCAAGTGTTGGAGCACTTCCTAAGCAAGTGTGAGGCCCTGAATCCAGTTCCCAGGAATTCACATACACACTCTCACACTCACACACATATACTGCAAACCAAAATGAAAAAGACGAAGGCTTTTTGGAGGCACCTGAGGTGGAAGAGTATCTGAAAAACACCTGGTGTAGAAAGCACATGGAAGCCAGGTGCCGGTGACTCACGTCTGTAATCCTTGCTACTCAGGAGGCTGAGATCTGAGGATCATGGTTCAAAGCCAACCCAGGCAGGAATTCAGAAACATTGAATTTATTCTCTGTATTCTCTTAGACCACAAGAGAATAAAATTAAAACCCAACACCAAAAGCCACCAAAGAAAATCCTGTAACACATATAGACTGAACAACTGTTGAACTACTTTTGGGTCATGGAAGGGAGGAAATTAAAATGTTTATGATATCTAATAAAAATGAACATACAGGGACTGGGAAGGTGGCTCAGTGGTAGAGTGCTTGCCTTACATGCCTGAGGCCCTGGGTTAAATTCCTCAGCACCACATAAGCAGAAAAAACTGGAAGTGGAACTGTGGCTCAATGATAGAGTGCTAGCCTTGAACTGAAGAGCTGAAGAACAGCACCCAGGCCCAGAGTTAAGGCCCCATGACTGACAAAAAAAAAAAAAAGTGATTTCCTGTTTAGAATGAATGACCCAAGCAGGGTGCTGTTGACTGACACCTGTAATTCTAGCTACTTAGGAGGTTAAGATCTAAGGATTATGATTTGAGTTCAGCTCAGGCAGGAAAGTCTGAGGGACTCCAGTTAACCAGCAAGAAATTGAAAGTAGAGATATGGCCTAAGTGGTAGAGCACCAGCCTTGGGTAAAAACAAAAAGCCAAGTAAGAGCATGAGGTCCTGAGTTCAAGCTCCAGTACTGGCATGTGCGCGCGCGCACACACACACACACACACACACACACACACACACACACACACACACACACACACACACACACACACGAATGCTCTAACCTCAAAATATGCTTGTGTATGTGTTCAGGAGGATGAGCACACCACTGTCCTGTCCCTGCCTGTTTTGAGTTGCGGTATAGTGAAGAGCTTCCACTTTTATCTTCCATCTGATTTCTTTTAACAATTTAATTTTTAAGATGAAGAAATCTCTTTTTTATTGAGGTAAGGAGAAAGCATACTTTAAATGGAATAGGTATATAAACTTTCTCCTGGGAAGCGGGATTTGAATTAGTTTTGTCATTTAGCAATTAGGAGTTCCCTCAAGAAAGATATTCATAAAAAAAATGATGTTGAGCTCTTGTGGCTCATGCCTGTGGCTCAAGCCTGCAATCTTAGCTGCTTAGAAGGCTGAGAACTAAGATTCGCTGTTTGAAGCTGGCCCAAGTAGGAAAGTCTGTGAGACTCTAGCATTTAAATGTGGCTCCAGTGGCAGTGCCAGCAGTGGGCAAGTAAGCAAAATAAACCAGAGTTCAAGACCTTGAGTTCAAGTGCATACACACACACACACACACACACACAGAGAAAAGAAAAAAAAAGAAGAAAACGAAAGCAAGTATGTTCTTCTCCATCCTGCTGATGCTTCTTTTTTACAGAGAAAGTTTGCTTTACTTTTTTTTTTTTTTGTGGTACTAAGAATTGAACCCAGGGCCTTGCATATACTTACTGTATGCATTTTGTTCCAGAAAGTGTGTGCTTTAAAATGTAGCCAGGTTGCTTTAGACAGTCTCCAGCTTCTAGTCTTATTCTTTGGTTTCTTTGCTCAGCTTCAGCAGCAGGCTGGTGAGTTCAGGGTACAGGTGGAAAGAGGAGGCAGCCCATGAGGTTTTGCAGGTAGAGACTTTTTGACCCTGCTTGAAAATCAAACCATTTGCCTTTTCCCAGTATCTCCCAACTTACAACATGACCAGCAGTTGCTTCTGTCCTTTACCTGCACCTGGCATGTGTTAGGCTGAGAGCGAAGAGGCTACTCTTCCCTCAGAACTTAGAAGTGGGAGTAAGGGTTTTACTTATTTGTTTATGAAATCTGGGAGATCTGGGTCAAAATTCATCTTTGCCTTCTTCTTTTGCCGCCTCTTCTTTCTTCTTTGCTTGAACTCAAGACCTCACTTAGCTTGCTTGCTCACAACTGGCCCTCTACCACTGGAGCCATGCCTCCAGCTTGACATTTTACTGAATAATTGGAGACAGGGTCTCCAACTTGTTTCGGAACCTTTCTGCCACGTCCTGGCTTCCTGAGTAGCTGGGATTTTAGGCATGAGCCTTGGAGAATGATATTTTGAAGCCATGCCCAGCAGAAAAGTTAAAAACAACAACAACTCACCTTAGGGTGTTTGAGATAATCTTGAAAAGTACTTGTTAGCCCAGTGGTCTGTGTGGTCACTTAGCTCACGTTGGTATCAGTGGCCCTTTTTTTGAGATAGAGGTAAAATCTCAGGGCTTAGAACTGAACTCAGGGCCTGAGTGCTGTCTCTGAGCTTTGTTGTTGTTGTTGTTTTTCTCCCAAGACTAGTGTTCTACCATTTGAGCCAGTTCCACCTCCAGCTTTTTGGTGGGGCTGGCTTCAAATCACAATTCTCCTGAGTTGCTAGGATTACAGGAGTGACCCACCAGTGCCCGGCTCCCACTTCATTTTTTTTTTTTTTTGAGTCATGAATAGCAAGGGAGCGGCTTAGGAGCTGCATATCTTTAGTTCACTTGCTGGATGATGTGGGTCCAGTATCTTAATCTCTTTGGGCCTTAGAACCTTATTTACAAAATAACAGGGTAGCACTAAACTATTGAGGTCTCCCTCAGGACCAAATGCCATAGAACCATGACTGTGAAGGGCTGGCGTCTCAGAATAATTCGTATTTTGATCTTAACAGGTAGCTTAAATAGTGAGACCTGTCAGGGACATTTCTAGCTTTTAAAGGCCATGTGGGAAATTTGTGCACTTTGGCTGGAAGTCACAATGGCAGGTTTCATCATCCATATATTCCCTTTCCTTTAAGAAGGGTAAAGGGACATTATCAAACATTTGACAGATTTTGAGAGGGTAGAAAATTCCTGCTTTAAAGGGTAGCTGATGAGAGCAACAGCAGTAGTTTTATTATTATACTGTGATGACTGTGCTGTAGGGTTGCTAGATTTTGTTTGGAGAATGCAGGGAAAGGGGGGAGGTACTAAGGGATCTGGAGTGAGAATATATGGGCCAGAAAGTTGAATATAGGGCCACAAACTGCTGGAAGGGATGTTGTCACCACAATTTAAAAAATGCCCTATCAGGACTCCTGGATCCTAGAAATTTCTAGCTCTATTATATGTAGGGCCTCTGGAAACCCTGGAGTATGCTGGGCAGCTGGCTTTCTGTTTGGCCACGTGACCTCTATTTACTTCTACTGTTTGTAGAACTGAGTGTGTTCACAGGATGTTCTTGTGGGTCAGTACATTCCAACACATCTCTGGACCCAATGTGTGTATGTATATCTATATGTGTGTGTGTGGGGGGGGTGTTGTATTTGTTGTTGGTGTTCTGAAAGAAAGCATGTGCCTTTAAATAATTCGGCAATCCATATGGGGGCTTTGGGGATTGTAGCACCAGTTGTAATCAGTCTGATCCCTCAGTATGGTTCTCCCAATAACAATGATATTACTAAAATAGTATATATTCTCATTATGATAGGAAAGATGGAAGTAAAGGACTTTTAGCACATAACTTGTACTAGGCACTGTCTTAAGTCATTAATACTCACCAGAACACCATCATGGTAATGTTTTAGGAAGAGTTATTATAGGTTCCACAACTACCCAAGTGGTGAGGAAAGGATTTGAACACAATTGTCTACTTGAAGAAACATGCATACATATACACATATATCTTTCCCCCTCCTGTGTCAGTCCTGGGGCTTGAACTTAAGGCCTGAGTGCTGTCCCTGAACACTTTTCTTTTTTTGGGTTCAGTCATGGGGCCTGAACTCTGGGCCTGGGTGCTGTCCCTCAGCTCTTCAGCTCAAGGCTAGCGCTCTACCACTTGAGCCACAGCACCACTTCCGGCTCTTTTCTTTTTGCTTATATGGTGCTGAGGAATCGAACCCAGGGCCTCATGCATGCAAGGCAAACGCTCTATCACTGTAACCAGCTTCCCAGCCCTCCCTGAACTTTTTTTGCACAGGTTAGCACTCTACCACTTAGCCACACCTCTGCTTCTGGCTATTTGGTGGTTAATTGGCGATAAGAGTCTCAAAGACTTTTCTGTCTAGCCTGGCTTAGAATGGCATTCCTCAGATCTCAGTCTCCTGAGTAGCTAGGATTACAGATTTGAGCCACTGGCTGCCTGTAAAACTGGGCGGTTTTAATTGCTCTATTGGTCTTTCTAATCTGGGCCTGAACTCTAAACCACTGGGCAGGATGGTGCTGCACTTTGGAAATTTCTGATGAGATATTTTATCCTATATAAAAATTTTAAAATACTTTTTAAAAGAAAAGAAGAAAGTAAAAAAAAAAAAAAAGTAAAAAAAAAAAAAAAGAAGAAAGTAGAATGAAGTTCAGACAAAAACATGAAAAATGTAAGGGACACAGTGAGAAGGTTAAGCAATGCACATAATTAGTATCCCAGAAGGAGAGAAGAGAGAATGGAAGAGAAACAAACACCCAAAAGGCCAAAAAGTCCTGATGTGTCAGAACCTTACACCCAGTGCCCAGCAAAAGAGTAGCTGTGGGTCATGAAGAATGGCTGTGGGCCGTGGTCCTCAGTCTTGGCTGGAACAGGCAGCTTCTCATCCAGTAGCCAGCTGAAGAATGCTGACCAAGGTCAGGAGGAAAACATGGTTCTCCTGAGAATTTGCTGCCTGGACTTTTCCCCACACATCTTTTTCTTTCTGGTAAAAGTTCAGAACTACACACAATGCCTGTTCATTCCACTCAGAAAGCTGGCAGCTTGATCAATGATTTCCTGTGCCTTGATGATAAATGGTTTTCCTATTTAAGAGATAAATTTGTATTTTGGAAGTTCAAGGCCCTTTGATTTCTTTATAATAGAATTTCATTCAAATTAGCTTCCTAACTGTGACCTGTTCCAGGGCTCACGGCCAAAGCAAATTCTGCTAATGAGGAAGAACAGAACTTCAGGAAAATCATGTGTTCTTCAGTCTCAGCCATGGATGGGGCATTAGAAATGCTGTGGTCTGACCTTTCACTTTATAGATCAGGAAATGGGGTTCCTGGGAGGAAAGACGAATATGTCTAGGATCACGTCGGCACTGCTCACACTTCACTGAGATGAAAAGTTTGTGCAGGGTGTGAAGAGAGAGTCAGTGGTTTTTCCAAGATCTATTATGTCAGAAAATTGTCAAGCTGGGCTCCCAGTGGCTCATGTCTATAATCCTAGCTACTCAGGAGATTTGAGCTCTGAGGATCGTGGTTTGAAGCCACCCTGAGCAGTAAAGTCTGTGAGACTCTTATCTCTACCTGACTAACCAAAAGGCAATTAGAGCTGTGGCTCAAGTGGTAGAGTGCCAACCTTGAGCAAAAAAGCTAAAGGACAGCACCTAGTTTCTGAGTTCAAGCCCCAGCACCAACACAACAAACAAAAACAAAAAACCTTGTCAAGACAAATTTAAGTGTATGCTAGATTTGTAGGTTGCTAGTAGGTAGTAATATATTAGAAGAATTTTCATTTTGCGTGCTGGTATGTAGGACTTTTTTTTTCTGTTAAACTGAAAACCTTATAGTTTATTAATGGTCTCTGCTTTTCAAATAAAAGTCACGCATGTTCACCTAGTGGAACAGGGATTGGCAGGCTATGTACCCTGGGCCAAATGGAATCTGTTTTTGCAAATCAAATTTTATTGGCATAGACATGCTTAATCATTAACTTATCTTCTATAATGGCAGAATGAAACCCTTAAGGCCCAGAAAACCTAAAATACTACCTGACTCTATGGAAAAAGTTTGTTTAAATGAACATGTAGAACCATCTGAAAGAAATACAGAGAACTAAGCCAGAGAAATGATTCTCACTCTCTCACCCCCAGATACAAAGGTTAACTTCAGTCTTGTCATTTTCATGGCCAAACCTTTGGGAAATCTCTGATTATTTCCAAAGAATAAATTCCTAGGAGTCCAATTACTGAGCCAGTGAGTGTGAATGACTTTTAGGTCCTTAGGGCAAAATTTTAGATACTCAGGGCAAAATTTCTTTTCAGCTTACATGGATGGCAGTGTCTTCTCAAGCTTAATAGACAAACTAGCAGGAACTCCTTGGTTAATGGATGTACTTTTCCTTTCACTGATTCAGGGGCAGGTTCAAGGCAGTGGTCTGCGTCCTGTCTGCAGTTACAACATGCCTGGCATTTGTCAAGCCTGCCATCAACAACATATCTCTGATGACCCTGGGGGTTCCCTGCACTGCACTACTCATTGCAGAACTAAAGAGGTGGGTGCCATTATTCCTGACTACTCCTTAGGCTTTGACTTGAGATGGGAGTACTCAGCTCCATGTTCCTGGGTTGCCCTCTGGCCTGGAGGAGGCATATTATTGTGTAGAAAGAGTTAATTCCTTCCTGATGCATTGGGACAGGTTTGATGGGTTAGTTCAAAATACGATTTGTTTCCAGAAGATGGAGCAGCAGCTCTTTAGTGCATGTCTGACATCTCAGTGATTAAAAACTGGCTCATCAGGAACGCCTCAGCCCCAACACCAAGCTTCTAGACTTAGCACTGTAGAAAGGAGAGTTTCTTTGTCCATGCAACAAGAAAAAGGAGAAAGGAGAAGTCCTGAAGATGTCATTGCGTTCACATGGAGTGGAAGAAGCGTCAAGGAAAATCCATTTCTCTACATAAGGAAATGTTCACTTCAAGCTGACTGCTGTTGACTGTGAAACTTTCCCCTGAGGCCTTATCTTTCTTAGTTCAGGCTGTCCTTGATCTCTCTATGTATCCCAGCTACTTTCTTACTTCTGTCTCTCAAGTGTTGAGATGGCAAGTTCCATGCCTAGCAACTATCTTAATTGAAGTTTTGATCTCTTTTGTGGTATAGGTGCTCTGTGTAATGTGATGTCAACTAGAATTAATTCTCTCTTCCTTATTTAGAGAGGAGACACACGTTTGTGCCTTTTTCCCCCTCCTTGGATTGCTTTGATCTTCAGCAATAACTGTTAAGGGTCAGAGGTGTCTGAAGAGCTATTTGAGCTTGCTGCCCTGCAGTCATCATCCGTCAGGAGGGGATCAAGTCTTGTCTAGTTGGCTTCTTTGCATAGCCTTAAGGAGCAGGGCTGTTGAGACCCATTTCAGAAACAGACTAAAGTTGATACTGCAAGAAATGAGTATAAAAAGCAAATATTTGAATAAATAGTGAAAGCTTCAGTTCCTACCTTCTATAATGATCTTAATTTTTTTCTTTCAAAAACCATTTTTTGGCTGCAACTGTATCTTAGTGGTAAAGCATGTGCTTAGCATGTGTGAGGCCCTAGATTTGTTCCCCAGCACCAAATAATTTGACAGACAGATACGTAAAAGATAAAGAGCAACTTCCTACTTCATCTTCTGTTGTACTGCTTGTTAGAGTCAGAACATTCTTTGCAACCCGAACCATGCTTGCTCCCTTGTTTATTCATTCATGGTAGGAAAGCCTAGTGATTCCTAAATGTCAGCTCCCATAGTTCTTAGGGAGACTTGTGGGACTCACTCAGGAAATACATTGCACAAATGGGAGGCCTGCCTATCTAGTGATTTTGATTTTGGAAGTCTAACATGTTGGCCTGGGAGTCCTGCATTTAAAAACCCTCAAAAACTTGGTTGTGCCGGGCGCTGGTAGCTCATGCCTATAATCCTAGCTATTCAAGAGGCTGAGATCTGAGGATCATGGTTCACAGCCAGTCTGGGCAGAAAAGTCCATGTGACTCTAATCTCCAATAAACGACTCAAAAAAAAAAAGCCAAAAGTGGGGCTGTGGCTAAGTGGTAGAGTGCTAGTCTTAAGCACAAACAGGCTGAGGGATAGCACTCAGCCCAAGTTCAAGATTGGCAAAAAACAAAAAAAAAAAACAAACCCAAAAAACAAAAACATAAAAACTTTGATCTCTCCTATAGTTTCTCAAATCTTAAGGGTTTTTTGTTTGTTTCTATGCAAGTACTATGGGCCTGAACTCAGGGCCTCCTACTCTTGCTGATGCTATATCATTTAAGCCAGACCTCTACTTTTGGCTTTTTGGTGGCTAACTGGAGATAAGAGATAAGAGCTGAGAATTGAGGTTCAAAGCCAGGAAAAATCCGTGAGACTTATCTCCAATTAATCACCAGAAAACTGGAAGTGGTGCTGTGGCTCAAGCAGTAGAGCACTTGCTTGAGCTGAAGAGCTAGCTCAAGGACAGCACCCAGGCCAAGAGTTCAAGCCCCATGACCGAAAAGAAAACAAACAAAAAACCCTCAAAAACTTGGTTGTTTGGGGGTTGAGGTGAGACTGGGGTGGCATGGGCCTGTGAGGGTATGGTGGGGGAGGGAGAGAGGATGACTGCTAATAAGCAAAGGCTTTAAAAAGCATGCAAAATCTTTCCTTTGGGGTGTTGGAAAAATTGTGAAATTAGATTTTGGTTGGTGATGGTTGCATAACTGTTTTAAATGTACTAAAATGCACTGAGCTGAACACTTCAAGTGAACAAATTGCAATGTATCTTAAGAAAGCCATAAATTAAAAAAAAGACCTTCCATAACCTGCTCAGGTGATTCTATTGTCCACCTGTCCTGTGTGTGTGTGTGTGTGTGTGTGTGTGTGTGTGTGTGTGTGTGTGTGTGTGTGTGTATGTGTGTGTGCGTGCGCGCTGAGCCTGGGGTTTGAACTCAGGGCCTGGATACTGCCCCTGAACTTCTGTGTTCAAGGCTAGCACGCTGCCACTTAAGCCATGGCTCTACTTTTGACTTTTTGGTGGTTAATTGGAGATGAGTCTCATAGACTTTCCTGCCTGGCTTTGAACTGTGATCTTTAGGTCTCAGCCTTCTACGTAGCTATTTTAAACTGTGAATTTCAGGTGTGAACACCTTAGAAGAAACACCTTCTCCACTTTGCAATAGTAAATTGGAGTCTGTGTTCTTTAATAAAGAGATTCAGAGTGAGAATGTGTGGTCTTTAATACAAAATCAATACAAAATAAGTCCTTACTACAAGATAATACAAAATAAGTCTGAGGTCATTATACTACCATCAAGCTATGGAGAAAGTTTTCACTGAATCTTATGTCAAAACTTTTTCATAAGAACATTCTCTCCCCTTTTTCTTGTGTTTAATACTCTGACTTAGCTAAAGCCTGTGTCTGGAATGCTTTTTTGCCTGAGTGGCTAGAGTTGTGCTCAGAGTTGAGCACATCTGTGCTGTGACTGAGATGACTGAGGTCCACAGATGACCACAGCGCTGGGCCAAGCAGCTCTCCTGTCTGTCCCCTCACAGCCGGGCTTCCTGAGAGCTGTCTCTACCTGCCCCTTTCATCTTCTGCCTTCTCTCCCCATCTTTATTCTGTAATCTTCAAATTTACTCCTGTAAAGTTGTCTCCTGTACCATTCCTCCCTCTCTACAGGGTCCTTACTATCAGCCAGTGAAAGAATATACTGGGGTCTCTCCCCTCCGCTTTTCACCTTCACTCTCAACCTGGACTCTACACCTGCCCCCAGCACTACCTGTTATCTCCTTTGTACGTCACAGCCAAACTTCTTTATTTTCTTCTCTTCTTTACTATGTCTGTTTATGCTTGAAATACAGCCAAACATGTTTCTTCTTCTTCTCATTATTACTACCTTTATTTTAACAATTTTTATTTTTTAAATTTTAATTACTATTATAAAGAAGATGTGCAGAAGGTTTATAGTTATGTTAGTTGAGTAAAAAGTGCATTTCTTTTTGGATGTCCCTCCTTCCCTCCCACTCTCTTATTACTAGCTTTTTTTTTTTTTTTTTTTTGCCGGTCGTGGGGCCTGAACTCTGGGTCTGGGCACTGTCCCTCAGCTCTTCAGCTCAAGGCGAGCACTCTACCACTTGAGCCACAGCGCAACTTCCGGCTTTTTTCTTTTTGCTTATGTGGTGCTGAGGAATTGAACCCAGGGCCTCATGCTTGCAAGGCAAGCGCTCTACCCCTGAGCCACCTTCCCAGCCCCTCTTATTACTAGCTTTAAACGAGTTGTCCAGAGAGCCCTTATTTAACATGTGCATTCTGTGTATCCTACAGCCAGACTTCTTTAAAAGCTTTCTTTTCCTCTCTTTCTTACTCTTCAGCTGGTTTCTGTCTGCTATCGCAAGCCCTGCTTGCTATGTTGCCCATCCAGTGGTCATTCTTCAGACCTGCTCTAACTTACACATCCTCACCAGTGTTTGTACAATTGGCCCAGCTCTGGACTAGCATCCTTGAAATGTTTCTGGTGGCTTCTGTGAGAGTGCATCGATTTGATTTTTCTGTGAACTGTGGCTGTTCCATCAGTCATGTAGATTTCTTTTCTCCAGCTTTGCATGCAAGGATCCCTTAAGGGATTCTGGGCTCTCTGCTTGCTATGGTTTGAATGCTGTGTGTCTCCAAATTTGTATGTTGAAACCTGATCAAGAAGGTGCTAGAGGTGAGGACTTCTAGGAGGTGTCATAAATTAGATTAGTCTCTTTATAGAAGAGGCTCCAGATTGCTGCTTTCCTCTTTTGACATGGGAAGACACAGTGGGAGGCCAGTCTGTAGGGAATGGGCTTTCACTAAACAGTGATTATACTATCTATCTATCTATCTATTTTGTCTGTTGTGGGGCTTGAACTCAGGAAGCCACAGCTCTACTTCTATTTTTTTGGTGGTTAGTTGGAGATAGGAATCTCATGGACTTTCTTGCCCAGGCTGGCTTTGAACCATGATCCTTGGATCTCAGCTTCCTGAGTAGCTAGGAATGAAGCCACTGGTGCCTGTCTTATGCTGGTATTTTGATCTTGGACTTCCCAGTCTTTTGAACTATAAGGAATAACTCATTAAAAAATTTAAAATTGTTATTATAAAGGCAGTGTACAGAGGGGTTACAGTTACATGTCAGGTAAAGAGTACATTTCTTTTTGGACATTGTCATCCCCCACTATCTCCCAGTTTTTCCCTTCTGAGAACTCTTTAAAAGAACTCTTATAAAGAAGTAACTGTGCTTCCCTTTTCCCTCTCCGAATCAGATAAGTATATAAACATATACAAGACAAAGAGTACAGAAATAGTAACAGAAGGGAATAAACCAAATAAAAAAAGGAAAGAAAAAAACAGAACAAAAGGTGAACCAATTCAACAGTGAAAACCATTAGATACTATTTGGAAATGAACTAAACAACTTTGAGGGGAGGGAAGTCAGGAGAGGAAAAACAGGGGAAGGGGAGAGGGGGTGACACTGCTCAAAACGAAATGTACTCATTACCTGAATCATGTAACTGTAACTCCTC